TGGCGGTGTTGTTGGTGACTTGTTGCCAGTATGGTTCTTGATGAGTGTGCTGGTGATATTTAAAACGAGCATGAGTTTTGGAAATTTTTTTGAACCTCACCAAGACTATCTTGAGTTATCTTATCTGGCATTCAAAATATTCTCATAGTTATTTACTTTTTGATGTTTATATCGCTTGTTAGTCAGTCAGTTTATTACTATTCAGAATCAATTTCTTTAAAGTTTTCCCAATTGCAGTCAACTTACAGATTTACTGCAGTTTTTTACTTCTCATAATGGTGAATTACGAGGATATTCCCCCGTCCGATATTGAGAGAATGCTGTTCATGAAATACCGTGAGTTGGACAAAGAAGCTATGGCCAAAATGCCACCTAAAGAACGTGATAGAGCCTTGGGAGAGCTGTTCATTCAAGTCCCTTATGATGCTCGTTTTCCACACACTAATCAGACCCACCGATGTCCGACGTATTATACTGATTACTACCGATGCATTGAACTTTTGGGCGTCGACTATAAGCCGTGCGAATTCCTCAGGACGTTGTATAAAACTATCTGCCCAGTAGACCAGGTGGCAAAATTTGATGAAGCTAGAAAAAACGGCGTTTATCCAGCTAGATTTGACCGCTAACTGATATTCTAACTTTGCTATTACCACTTTTGTATCATAGATCCACCGCTTATGATCGTTTATGAAAATAGGAATTCTGAATAAAGAAATTTTTGTTTCATTTATGTAGCTTAGATCTATTGTTTTTGTAGGATTAGATAAATAAAAATCCACCTTGTTTTTGGCCACTATTTATGCATACCCTTCAAAGAATGGTATTCGCATGAATCCCAGTTATTAAACGTTTCTTGTGATTCTTATTAAATAATGATGATTATCTCAAGGTTGGTAATGTTTGTTTTTTTTAATTTTTTTAGATAAAGTAGTTGAAGCAATAATGATTATACTACCTAGCAGTGTTTATGATCATCTTTGGTGATTTACCGTTTTACAACTGTGCCGGTACGTATTTACGATTTTATAGTTGATTGGTGTAACTAGGGTGGTGATTTTTGATGTCTCAAGATGTCTTAACGTAGACTTAACGTAGAACTTTTTTGTAGTTGACAAAGGTTTACAGTTTTGTCAGCAGAAGCGCTTTGGGGTTCCCTTACCGAAAAAGGGAATAACAACCAAGTGACACATCTTTCTGTAGGTGGCTTTTGTACGTGTGAGCCATTCGGTGCCAGTTTGCGTACTTTTACTTTTTCTGTGTCTTTGCAATTTGTTGAAATTTACTATTAGACAGAATCTAGGACTCGATTTAAAATACCGAAGGGAGAATTTGGAACAGTGGATTTTTTGTTAAATTAAGTTGCAATATATACAACTTAATTGGAAATTATATTTCAGCACATCTTTTATAAAAATTTAATGGTTTTTGATTTATTAGGTTTTTTTATTTTTTCTGCTTTTACGTAGATATTGCTTCATTTGATTTTGTCAAACAGGTAAAAATAGCAGTAAAAGCAAAAAAAAACCTTTTATGTAGAATTATCTGCTTTAAAAAACATAATAGTTTAGTGAAGCCGCTTAGTCCGATTTCAGAGTTACTCACTTGGAAGCAAAACGAGATTGATGAACAAAACACAAGACATTGATGCTAAAGTCTGACTTGAGTTAGTATTTGCTTTTATAACTGAAAAACTGATGATTTATATTACGGAGCTCTTTTAACGTCCTGGGAGCTTTTTTTGTTATTACCTGAACAGCCTTCTTAACTTCGCACCTTAGGTGTCGAGATCAGAAGTTCTTTGTAACTGCACACCAATAATTTGCAAATATTTTCGAATCAAGTAAAATATTAGAAGCAGATTTTATAGTTGATGATTTTACTTGTCTGAATTGGGTATAAATACCAAAAAAAAGTTTTTTATTAGTCTTGCGTAGCTTTTTAGGAAGCAACTGTCGGGTTCTTCTGAGCGGTTTCACCAAATTGTGATATTTTTGGAGCAGAAGATTTTACACGGGATTTTTTTTTTTACACGTTTTTGGACTTTTGTTGCTCTAACCGCTTATTTATTTAATGAAATAAGCAGAATAACATTGAAAAGATATGAAAGTTTAGTGAACCACAAATCATCTGATTTCTTTTAAGATGCGCTAAATTACAAGTTCGGTAAGATGAACATGTTGAACTGAACCGTGGCAAATTTTGTACTTTGTGGAAGCAATACTTTACGCAGGATTCACTTTTCAGATTTTCTCTTCGGTTTTTTAAATCAGAATCTAGAATCTAATAATGAGTATGACTTAAAAAATTTCCGATATCAAGTGAAAAAACTGCACCAAATGGTACCTCTGCGTATTTCATCAATTTCACTTCCAGTTTACGTTCGAGCAACTTAAATTTGGGTAGCTTATTTCTTGAAATTGCTTCAGAAGCACACATGGCATTTTATCGGGCTTTGAGCTAGACAGACTGTGCTTTTTGCTTCAAAAAGCTGCAAGAGCAATCTTGTCCGTTGGTTTTTTTTATCTTTATTTTGGTTTTTTGAAAATCTTAAAGTTGATTTTTGCATACTGTAAACGTTTCAGCTGTATGTCAGAAGGAAGTGACCATTTAAATCGAAATAGGGTTTCTAAGGAACCAGTAAGGTTTGATTTAACGCTTGTTGCTCTTGGAATTAATCAACTTCGCTGCAGGGCTTATTCGTAAAATATTCTTTACCAGAGATCTGAATATGGTTCTCAAATGCCTGAAGATATTGACAGTTTTTAATAGGATGATTTGAGGGCTTGTTGCGTTGAATAGACCTGACAAGATGAATGTTGGAAAAAGCGTGAAGTTTTGTTGTTTCTAAATTTTTTTTGTTTCTAAGAATTTTTCTAAATAAAAATTTCTAATTTTACGTTGTCTTACATTCTCTTTTGATGCGGATTTGGGACGCTGGGCTAACATTGAAATGAACTTCATTTCTGATTAATTCCTCTTAATCTTCCTCTCCGCCGCTTTTTTCAAACGTTTTTTCCAAAGGTGACGAAGTGAATTAAAGGAATCTCGGAAAGAAAAGAGTAAGAGATAGGCGTATAGGTATTGGATAAGAAGTAGAAATTTAGTTATTTTTTTGTGAGTAGATCAATTTTATCGACGAATCATTGGTAAGTTTGAAGCAGGATATTTATTCTGTTTACGGCTAGAGTGAGGACTTATTTTTTTACAAAGTGCGACAGATCTTTGTTAATATGGATGCATGTGTTGAATAGTGGGAGACCAGGCATATTCAGTCGAATTAAAGTGCTTTCCAACCAGAGATTTCTCTTTCAACACCACTGGTTTGTTGCAAATGGTTGTTGAAAAAATTATGAGTTTGTACTTTCCCAAATCTAATATTGGGATAAACAGGTGTTAACTTGCTATAGAATAGTTGATAGAATAAGAGCTCTGGATGGGACATGCTTTTTGGTTTGATTATTCTGTTCGCTTTTATTGTGGGGAAGGATTAATAGCCTCCAGAAAAAAGCTTACCTGTGTATGTTGAAGGAGTTATGGATTATTTAGATGAAATATGAAATCTTCTCTGCCCTGCAAACACTAATACATTTGTCTGTTTAATTTTAAAGTCTTTTTCAAGGTATGGAGTAGATTAATATTTATTTAACCAATTGTGGTTTGACAACAAACGGTTCGGAAGTTTTAGCAAGAATTAGGCATTTAAATAGTTCAAAAAAAATTTTGGAGTACTACTGTTAGGTATAGCAATTGTCAGTAGCAAAGAAACTATAATTTATAATGAAGATTTTGTAAAATAAGTTTTAAAGAGGTTAAGGAAGGTTTACTTTACAGTATACTTAATTACTGTGAATTTCTCCATTTTTAGATGTTTCATGCATTCGCGTAGTACAGTTATTTTTGTCAATATACCACTAGCCTATAGCCTTGACAGCAGTTTTAACAGTAACTGTGAGTAAAAGTGGTTAAGGGATGAAAAAAGACATAAACAGCTAGGCAGCAAATTCAGCTATAAGACCGTATTTTGTACAGTCAAGGTATTTTGTACTGTTAAGAGAAATAATTCCATGCATGAAAATTTTTTAACTATCAATAAAGCACATTGTCATAACGTATTGTAGCCGCTTCTTTATACTTATTTTTAACGACTTTGCAGTTGAGAAATTCTGATTAATTCTTCCGGATTTTTTCAAGCATGTTTTCTGCTAAAGCCGACTCGGGTGTCGATTATATATATAACTGCTAATAGAACCGTTATAATACGAGGAAAATGAAAAACAACCAGGTAGTTTACGCAATATTTCCAATATCTTTCTAAGTTGAAAAAATCGCACTCAATATCTTCAGCACTGTAATGTATAAAGATTAGAATCTAGAGTTTTTTTTCTGAAGTTATGACTAATGTTATTTGCATCAATATACCGCCTCTAAAAGCCGATTGAAAGACATTTTCGGAGACACCTTTGTGTAGCAGACAACGTTTTAATTTAGTGAAGTCAACCTTTTCAGACACCGAATAATTTCAAGAGAAAAGTGCGAATTAAACTCAAGGGTATTGAGGAAGAATAAGAACAAGCGAAGAAACTTTCAATTTGCATACGTATACGTTTCATGGCTTCTTAAAAGCAGTAAAACATAGTCACCCTTGAGAGCAGTGGACTTTACATAATTCCCTTATGTTCAGTAACAGTGACTAACTTAACAAGGAATGGCTAAATATAGCTGACAAATGAAGACACTTCTAAAATAATTTGTGAAAAATATTTTGAGGGACAAATATCGGTTTAGGTTTTCGATGTCTTAGAACTAGATCTCACCTGGAAAAAGTTGTGCAGTTGGAGAGAGGGGAAAAAACTAGTATTGAAATTCCTTTTCAGAATTGAAATAATTCTGTTGTCATCAAAATGAAAATGATTCGACAGTTCAGTCACTTAGCCATAAGCAATAAGAATTAAATGAATAGGGAAAAAACCAAGGAAGAAGCGTTGTGCTGATCAGACATAGACAGAAAAAGCCGGGTGTTTACTTAAATATGTCAGATTAACTGGGACACAGTCATTAAGCAATGGCAAGGCAGCAACGAAGTAAAAGCAACTTAAAATCGTGTATTTTTGCTTCTTATCTTCGAATTTAACTAGTTCATTTGGAATGCACGAATTATTCAAATTAATCGTCAACCGGCCACATTTTAAATGTTCTTCCCAAATTTTTAAACTGTTGCTGGAAAGTTGTTATTAACTTACATTGAAGTTTGTATTTAAATGAACAATAATAAATTTTTTTTGCTATTGAGATCTACCTCAGTTTTCCGCGTTTTAAGTGGCATAAGAGCAAAAACTCTCCTTGTAAGATGGCATAAAGAATGAGCAGAAAAAGAGCATGATTTAATGAGAAGGAAATAACTGTGCTTCAAATGTATGCCCTTTTAAAATTATTGGCAGCTCAGTATCCAGCG